AAATTATATTGTAAACATCGTAATGCATACAACTCTAAAAGCTGTTTGGAACTAAAATTGAATACAGAAACATCATGCAGTCACGAGGTAACACATTAAGTAAGTACACGTATGTAAGCCATTCTCTAGCTTTACAAAGAATAAAATAACCGATTTTAAAGATCTTGTATTTAATTAAAACTTTATCTTTGTATAAATATCAGCATCCACAAAACAAAGTATGTAAAGCGCCTGAGATAGATGGTGTACAGAACGAACGTATAATATATGGTGTACAGAACGAACGTATAATATATGGTGTACAGAACAAACGTATAATATATGGTGTACAGAACAAACGTATAAGATATGGTGTACAGAACAAACGTATAATATATGGTGTACAGAACGAACGTATAATATATGGTGTACAGAACAAACGTATAATATATGGTGTACAGAACAAACGTATAAGATATGGTGTACAGAACAAACGCATAAGATATGGTGTACAGAACGAACGTATAAGATATGGTGTACAGAACAAACGTATAAGATATGGTGTACAGAACAAACACATAAAGTATGGAGGCAGGAAACATGTGGAAACTATTACAAACTGTTTCAATAAAATACTTATATAACGTCGTAGTAATTTCGTGCAGGTATTGGTGGACATCAGGAAATTAATACTACTCCGTAGGTTAACATGGGACGGGGGCGGTATGAAGACTACGGGAAATTCTGTCAAGTTGGTCCATAGGAATAAGACAAGTGAACAGGCAGTGTTAAATGGGCAAGATTTAAAGGATCGACCCCCAATATAGAAAATGAAAGCTCTATATTAAAATGATAAAGGAAAAACATCGACAGTTTATACGGATTGGATTCATGCGATGGTCGTCCGAGAGTAATGCGTTGGTATGTTACTGTTATATGAATGAATATGTGTAGCTTTTCAGTCTTCGTGCGATTTTGAAGCAATAAAAGACGCGCTAGAAAATTCGAATTGAGCGGAGGAAGGTTTTTGTTAAAGTTGCATTCATTGTGTTATTTTATAATACCGTTAAAGTGATTTCATATTGTCATCGTCGTGCTTTATTGATAGAACTGCAGACTCCTGTGGATCAGTTAACTATCATGTTAAGAAGTTCAGAAAGGCGCTAATTTTGCTTGAAGATGAACTCAGGATCAAGTTCTTGTCATAGGTTAACCTGCATTCTGTTGAAAGGTTGGACTGTAAACAATGTGCAGTGGGTCACAGATTTCACTTCCAGGCCAGCAACAATGCCTCATTACTGTACACAGAAAATTCGAAAGAATAAACAATTTCCTTTTGTTCAATACCAAGAATGCCTAAATCTAACTCGTGTGCCATAAGAAAAATGAAAGAGGACGAAACGTTCTAAAAATAGACCTGGGCTACATTCGTGGGTACTAAGTCGGAATAACAATTGGGATCAGTCCCTATGCGCTAAAAATACTCGTCACCGTCATTGTTAGCACTAATATTATTACCCTTGTGGTCAACCACAACAAAACAGTTGAGGCTACGACATCTTAGCTACATCATTGTTACGTAAGCGCCAATGCTATATGGCCATTTCGTATACAAGTTTGGATATTATCCCTACTTCAGCTTGCTCGATGGACTAATGTGTGTTAGGAGTCTAACCAAATATTTCATAATAGTTGTCTCTTTTAATTATTTTGTTGTGATAACTTCCTAGTCAAGCAATGTCTTGATTTTAATTTTAACCAATAATAATCGTAGAAGTGTCTTGTGCGTATATCATTCAGACTGGAAAAGTATGTTAATTGTTGAGAAAATCGAGTCTATCCGTATAATCCTTTAAAGTCGACCAGAAGGATACGTGGTGTATATGTTTAGCATTGCTACGAGTGAATGACTTGTAACTCGTTAACATCGCAAAAGATGAATGAGGTGAAGTGGCGTCACTATGGGGGTGCTGCCCGCTGACTGTTGTGACACAGTAAGAGGGTGACACCAAAATAACCGTTGTGCAGGAAGGAGGTCCATGGGTGTGACACCGTGAGTTAGCGCACCGGGTGACACCGACCCTAGTGACGCCACTGAAGAGGTGTACGTTTTGAAACCTTATCCCCTTCCCACCCAGCCTCCTCCCCCCAAACATATTGCCTAGTAAATTGAGAGCCTTTCACCTAATTAATGATACATTTTGTGTCAGCTTGTTTTGGACTTGTTCAAATGACTATGCATGTCTTATTTCCCAAAATCAAATGAAACTGTGTGTGTGTGTGTGTGTTTTTTTTTTTAACGTAGCTTTAAAAACGTTCCGGTCGCATCGCTACGAGATCCTCAGTGTGGCAGTATATTCTGATGTCTAGCAATGTAGCATGATGCCCCAACCCAGTCACATTATGCTGACACCAAGCCGACCAGTCCTAACACTAGCGAGGCAGCTGTTAGTACCATTTTTAAAAATCTTTGGTATAACTCAGCCAGGGTTTGAACACTATCTCCCACATCTCAGGCGGACGCTCACTTGGCCATCAAAGCGGTTTTAATCTCTTTTTCAAGTAATTCTTCAATTAATATATTCTTTTTGCAATTTGTCACGTCTGACGAAAACCAAAATTTGCTGTAACATTCGGTAAGACGTTTAACCCTTAGGTTTAGGACGACTATTACGCTCATAACAAGAGTTTAGGACGACGACAACGCATGGCTGAGAGTTGCTATTATTACCACCAGAACCATTGCTTCTGACGATGATGATTTTATGATGGTGATGAGAACAGGAAAAATACGAATATGTAGTTATTGAATATTACATATATTTTGATTATGATAAAGATTCTCACCATAATCTTCTTCTCATTTCTTACTATGAGAAGGAATTACTAGTCACTTTAAGAGAGGTCTTTGCCCAAGAGAGAGAGAGAGAGAGAGAGAGAGAGAGAGAGAGAGAGAGAGAGAGAGAGAGAGAGAGAGAGAGAGAGAGAGAGAGAGAGAGAGAGAGAGAGAGAGAGAGAGAGAGAGAGAGAGAGAGAGAGTGTTTTGGATTTCTTAAAGATTAAAGATGTCACGCATAACGGTGTAGATACGGCTACATTCTTTTTTTTAAGTTGGCAAATGCGGAGGTACTGGATGCTGTAAGGAAGGAAAAGAGTATGTCTCTGATTCTCGAACAGACTCTATTTAGATATAGAGATCTATACTGCTACATGCTAGCGATACATGTTTTAAAGCATTTATATCTAAAATACATTAAATACATATAAAGTTAGAAATTTTCTTCTAGCTTACCAACTTCATACATTTATGTAATTTCTGTGTTTTAGAATAAAATACAGATAACAAATAACCCAAAAGTATACAATTCAATAACTGCTATATAGAGAAACTATCGTTTTAAAGAAATATATTTTACTTAATTTACAATAGATTACTAATTTGGAATAGGTTACTAAAACATTGTTCTTTATTACCCAAATAACCTTTTATTTCCAGATTGAATCTAAACACGAAGTTGGTAGGAATTAATCTTTTTAAATAATCCATACCATGAATACAAATGAATATAAGTTCTTTGAAACAATAGAATATTCCATTACATAAAAATATGAAATAGTAACTCACAAAAAAATGTTAATCAAGTCTAAATTGAACTTTACCGTGAAAATCTCTACGTTAAAAGTTTCCTATAGTTTAAAGAGTTTACGGACACAAACAATTTTTAAATGTACGGAAAGAGAACAGTCTGTCTCTGATTCTCGAACGGACTGATTTTTTTTTACTTGAGCCTTCTGGGATTTTTTACACATGTCTGTCCCTATAGAATCAGAACAAACTCTCACCCCCTTCTTACAGCAAACGCGTGAATCATCAATTTACTGACATTTGGGTACAAGCGAATTGTATAATTACCTATTATTAGCTTGTCCTGAAGTCTAAAATTTGTTGTCGTTAACCTTTAAGTACAGGATAATGTCCTTAATGACACAATTGTGATCTTTACCAAAACAACACACAGCTGCAGCTAAAAAACAAATCAAATTTTAATCTTGCTATAGCTTAGTGAAAAATTACTTCTTTATAATTTGATAATTAAAATACTTTTAATACGATTTAAAGAAGATTTAGAGATAATTTCAATCTTAATGCTTTTAGAAAATATTGTGTCCTAATAATTCCTCTGCCTTGCCTACAAATAGATTGTAGCAATTTTAATGAATCGTAAATTAATTTGAAATAAAATACATGTAGGTTTAGCTGCATAGAGACTTAGCCTCAATACCTCATCGAGGGTGTCCGGATGTCTTTCTGAAGGTTAAATATACGATAAAATTTCTTCTACTCCGGAACCTTCAGAGTCTATGCTGGTGTAATTCGGTTCTTTTTCATTCTAAAAGGAATATTTGCTTTTGCAGGACACATAGAACTAATATCATGGAAAAAGGGGAACCAGTCTGGAAATGGGTGAAGATTCTCTCTCTCTCTCTCTCTCTCTCTCTCTCTCTCTCTCTCTCTCTCTCTCTCTCTATATATATATATATATATATATATATATATATATATATATATATATATATATATATATATATATATATATGTGTGTGTGTGTGTGTGTGTGTGTGTTTGCCATGACTAGCTGTAATGAAAGTAAAAGATACATTGTTTTGTTCATTTAATTTCAGTCCTTCAACAGTCTTGAGCTTGGAACACTCATTACTGAAATTATCACCTGACTTTTGGTGCGGAATTGAAAGTTAATGTTTCAAACACATAGATTCAGAAAATACTGCGGCTCATATGGTCTTTTTTACACAGATGCTTATGGGCCATTTATACTTACAAATATAAGTTTGATCATGATCACTTAGAAATTTTAAGTTATTGAATTACTGATATCACGGTGCTTATATAAGTTTACTTTGGCAGTACTGTGAGTTCTGCATTGTATCGTACTGCACAAGAGATGAATCATGCAAATGAATAGTATCCCCTTACAATATACATGTATATTTTATTTACTGCTCCGGTAGCCTACTGGTTAGAGCGTCAGTCTTGAATATGGGAGGTGACGGGTTCGAACCCTGGCCGAGTCATACCAAAAACTTATAAAAATGATACTAGCAGCTGCCTCGCTTGGCGCACAGCATTAAGAGGTTAGCGTTAGGACTTGTCGACTTTGTGTCAGGGTAAAGTGACTGGGTGGGACATGATACTACATGCCTGCGGAATTATGTCCCAGTGCTAGACATCACTGTAAACTGCCTCACTGCAGTCATAGAAGCGATATGGCTGGGAAGTTGTTAAAGTTACGTTAAAATCAAACCCCCAACCCACCCACCCATATTTACCAGAGATTCGGAGGTCGGTATTCGCCTAAATGAATCTTAATATCGTTGAGAAAACAGTATCGTCAAAGTAACGTTTAACTTATCGCTTACTTCCAATACACGTAAGTCAGATTTCGGTTACTAATACTTGGTTACTAATACTAAGAGGACTTTATGTTTGGTATATCAATTTTGCAACCTTTTACCAACCATCCATTGCAACGTGTCTCCTTTTCTGATACTTTCGTGTAATGTATGATACCTAAAAAAAACCCCAAAACATCGCATATTATGTGTATTAAAGGCATATTTGTCTGTTTATTTAAGTAGATTTCAGTGTGCTTTGTGTTATTTATGATTCTGTGATATCTGGAATTAAAAAATTATAAACATGACAGGTATTGTAAGGCGGCTGATGAAGTGAGCAGAGGTGGTTATTTATATCTGGCACATAAAAGCACGACATGACAAAAGTTGCGGTCGTTAGTCAAGACTTCATTAAATTGTCTCTTTTCATCTCATTCGTTGACTTGCTCATTTCACTGACTGACTTATCTCTTTGATTGACTTACGCATCTCATTGATTGACCTACTAATCTTATTGATTGACTTAATTATCTCATTGACTTACTTATCTCAATTATTTTACTTATTCTTTGTAAGAAATCCGCCAAACCGTTGAAAAATGGTTATATTTATTTTTGAATAATGTTTTGCAGTCAATTTTATTGTCTTTGCATACATTAACCGGATAGTCCGTTTAATATATATATATATATATATATATATATATATATATATATATATATATATATATATATATATATATATATATATATATATATATATATATATATATATAATTTGCTTCTGTTCAAATACTGCATTTGTAACCGCTCCTGTGGCCTAGTGGTTAGAGCGTCCGTCCCGTATGCGGAAGTTCGTGGATTCGAACACCGGCCGAGTCATACTAAAGACCTTATAACTTGGTACTGACAGCTGCTTCACTTGGCACTCAGCATTAAGAGGTTAGTGTTATGACTGATTGGAACATCATGCCACATGTCTGCGGATTGATGCCCCAGTGCTAGACATCACTATAAACCATCATACTGCAAGCATCATACCGATATGACTGAAAGGTTTTTAAACCTACGTTAAAAATCTAAATCACACTCTGACGCACAATTATTTGGGGGTTTTATGTCATCATCATATAGAAATGACAAGAATAGATTTTTAAATCATCAGACGTTTTATTTAGGTTCAAATATTTTAAATAATTCCTTATATATTATTTCGTCGACATAATTTATACCTGTAGTTGTCATGTTTAAATTAAATATAGATTTTTATAGATTGGGAATTTTTGTACTGTTATCAGTGTTTTTACGTGTATATTTCCATGAATAAAAGTTTCCGTAATTAGGAATTTTTGATGATATTGTTACAAGCCAGGAGTCTTTGCTTGATCGAGCGATGTCAAAACCCTGGCGAGAATTCCGCTAGAAATCATAAGTTTACCCCAAATTTCCGAAGCCTTCTATACAACTTTACTTGTAAGTTAGAAAGTCCGACGTGTCCATTCTATACATAAATTTTACTCTAATTAATGTAAGATCACATTATTTACAGCTTGCCAAATATTTTAACTATGCTACCTTGGGTCAGTCAGTCTATGGTTTTAAGGCACAACTACATCACATTTGCCACCATGGCGACATAAACGGTATCATCCGAGTCCATTCTTATCTATTCCATTGTGTAAGTTACCGGTTTCCTACCATAAATGCTGCCACTGCATCCACAACGCCGATGTACACCACTAGATGTTATAAAGTAATAAATCACTACAGGGACAGTCATGCAGATTGGGTCTGAATTCGCTACTCATTGTACATAGCATCTTGGAAATTCACTAACACTTTCTCTCCTTGACGTTTGCTCCTAATAATTGGCTTATTATTTCGGGCTAAGGAATATTTCCCATTGCATTGAATTCCAATAATCAAGCAAACCTACGAATTGCTTAAACTAAATGTGCATCTCCTTATTTTTTTTACAATATTTCATTCGTGATCAAATCTGATTGTTTTGGTTTTGGTAGTCCAACATAAAGCGGCGAAAGATCAGGCCAGCCTAATATAGTTCTAATCGATGACTTATAAATATCATGAAAATTTATTTCGATTTATGTAGATAACGTTGGTTCATAAACAGTCATAGCTATTTTGGGTTCTTTTCCTGTGATAGACTTTATTCTGAGTTGATAACTGGCCGTAAGCATGATACAACTTGCCAATCGGCGTTCCCTCGGGTTTATTTTTATTTTCAAATATAAGTAAATTGTGTGGCTGTAATCCATCAAATGACTTTGATCTAATATTTGGCCAACTACAAAATAACCGCAATTGTGCTAGTGCTATTTCCTTCGCTGAAATCGCATTTGGAAAGTTTACGCTAAATTAAGAATTAGTTAAACTCGTTGATATCATTATGGTTTTAAGAGTGCTGTATTAGTGAATGTCTGTTGCAGCAATTCGCTTGACGTTGACATTATTAATATTATTAATGATAAATTGTACGGACTTGAAAACCATGATCATTTCGTTAAATTCATGATCAGATGTTATTCCATCATTAAGGATTCTGGATATCATCGATGATAATTTTCAATATGTAGATGTAGTCGCTGTCAATTTTATCTAATTTATCTATTGTACATGTCGATAATTTTTTTAGATGATAGTAAGAACATCAGCAATACCCTTTGCAACAAAAACACCAATTCCAATTGCGACTGGCAACACAAGTGATGCTGACAGCGCACCAATTATTGTTACTGTTCCTGCAATAATCGCAGTTGTTGAATAAACAGTTACTTCAATAACTACAAAACCTTTCTGATATTTCTTCTGCATGTTTGGATAATCATCGATGACAATTTTCAGTTGTTGCTGCCACGGCGATACTTGCTCGTATCTGCATTTATTTACAGAAAGAATTTCGGAATTTGGATTAGACGTCGATGACGGATTCATTAGTGCAATCATATACAAGTATTAAGTAATCAATTGAGGTGTCTCAGCAAGAAATTCCACACACCACAAGTAGGACGCTGCAGTTGAGTTTTTTATCAGATGGTTCCAGTATAAACGTTTCTTCGTTATCTTTATTTAACACAATAGACACGATCCCAGAATGATGCCATGGAGACGTGGTAAATATCCTAATTTTTTCAGAGCCGAACACAGACAGCCTAAACATTTTAAATGCTTCCGTGGTATGTTTGATAGTATTATTTTGCTGTGATCATGTTGCTGATTTTGATGATACTGTGTATACCACATGAATGATCTGTTTGTGATGAATGTTAACTTGATTGGTTTTATTAACGATGCTGGGAATTTCACTCATGATGTCTTTGAGTTTTATTTTAAGTTCATAAAGTTTTATATCGACAGTGAATGGAGTTCCAAAGATATTTTCAGCGGTTTTATTAAGTTGTTTTTTTTATAAAAAAAAAACAAAATTCTATTAATCATATTTACATAAACGTCATATTCGGATCGTAAAAAGTGGTTAATTTATTAACAATTACATTATCTTTATCACCTACTTAGTCTTCCCCGAATGTTGGTTCTCTTAAAACAACATTTTTTTTCATTAATGTTGAGTTCTCCTGTCATTGTAACACCGGTGAATTTTAAACGATCAGCAACACTTTTTAGAATTTCATTTCTGGTAGTTGCGATTGATACATCTGAGTCTCGGATTCTACCGCCATCAGTGACTACTGGAATAGTATTCTTTCTAGTACCAAGAACTCTACGAAATATGTAGATCTATTTAATATTACTCGTCTTTATACCACCATATCTATTCTGATAAACAACAACTTCATCCCTGTCAACTCCAAATAAGTTCATAATATCAGCGAGTTCATCTTTAGTAGCTTATTTTAATAAATCGAAATCGTCTTTTCGCTTCCTTTCAGAGATAGAAAATGATCTTCCATAAATATCAACCATTTTATTTGTTATTGTCTGTTTAAAAGTTGGACAATGTGGTATACTTGTGAACGACTTTATAAGGTGGCATTATGGACCTTGACACAGCGTCGAGTGCAGTAATTATTTCACGTCCGCATATTGGTGGATCTATTGTTGCCTGTGTTGGTAACGTTGAATACTAGATTGGAATACTTGGAAGTCTGTACACATATTTTAAGAATTCTTTTGGTGGCGCCAGTCCATACGAATCAAAATAAACAATTCCACGTGGATCAATTGCGTATGCAACCCAATGAGTATTGGTTCATAACTTTTATTGAGATTAATGATACACGTTTTGTTGTGTCGTTAATTGATCACACATAAAAGCAGTTCTGACGTTTTTGATATTTAGTTGTTTATCAGCATCGAGCAAAATGAAATTTAGACATAGGAATAATGAACGAAGTGTCCCCGGCAGTCATAGATCCTTTCCATTCCACGAATATTGGGTCCCTGGCAAGCTTAGACCGTATCCTTTTATTTGTAGTTTTTCATTCCTTTTCCTGTTTCCTTCCCTAATGCCCCCATTTCAGCAGCGGTTTCCACAGCGCCTGACGCAGCTGCTTTTTTAACAGCTTTGGCTGTAGTGGCTATTAACGCTGGTATAGCTGCAAGAAGTGGACATATACCACCAGTTTTAGTGATGTTCTTATGGCACCCGCAGAAAAAATACGTCTTATGCCGGTCTTTGTTTGTTTGGCTTTATTGATGTGCATGAGTTCATGTTCTGACAATGATAGCTTATTCCGACCATCTACGATCTGCTTTCGCTTTAGTGGTATTTTTCTTCCCCGGTTATCGTTTGATAATTGTATTTTTGTAATCTGACCAGGAATCAGACTTACGCTAACATGATAATTATCACGAGCGATTTAATTACATTTTTTCTACTGAAGCGTCAATGACTCTTATTCGTCCACCGAAACTTTCAAGTGACATTGATTTATTTGTGAGTATAACAGCGATTGCTCTGTAACCACCATGAAAAATCGATAGACCAGGTATTCTTGTTGGTTATCGTGCTACCCGAGCCCGGAAGTTTATAGCAAGGACAGATTGTCCAAACAAATCCAAATGTTCCAACGAAAGGTAATATATTGGATACAGCGTTGTAAAATTCCGCTGAAATATCTGCAAACCAGAATTTCTGATCATGCCCATAAATGGCACCAACTGATGATAAAAGCGTGTTCCATGATTGCGACAAAATTCAGTAGTATATTCTCAGCAGTTGTTAATGTCCATCTATCCATAAAGAAACTTCACTAACTCAATGCGTGTCAAATAAAATCGTATTTCATGTGTGTTTGTTTTTCGTGCATTTTCCTGAATTACGATGAATACATGTCATGGACCAGAAACCCTGCTGTGATGCTATCTGTCATGCAAATATAACAGCAACCTCACTTGAAATAACATATGTTGTCATCGTTAACCATAATAATATTGATTTAACACCGTGAATTATAAAAGAGAGTAAACGTTCTTCTTTAGGTATTGTTAGAGTCATTACTAGCATCCACAACGAAAGTTTTCTTAGTCTTACTATACAGGCAGCAACTGGCATTGTCGTTGTCTTTTCTGACCAGTAGAATTGTATGCTTCGCTCCGAAAATAACCTTACATTTATGCAGAAACCAAAAATATGGGATTGTGGAATCAGACATGGAAATTATCCTTCATTATTTAACATTGATCGACGTGTAGCAAATAATAAGTTCAATTTGCATTCATTGATAATACTGCAGGAACCTTACCATCTCCTCCTGCATCTCTTACGTTACCTGTGGTTTCGATTTCACCAAGGAAAAATGGACATCAAGAACCATCCAAAGACATAATACTGAATTTCGAACAAAACAATCTAACAGGGACGTATCATAATTTGATGAGGTTTATGGAGCGTCTGGTCT